GGGGAGGGGGAAGAGGTGGAGGAGGGTCTGAGGGATGGGTTGGGGGAAGGAATGAAAAGACTAGAAGAGGAGATCTCCAGCTTTACCATGTTTAAATCACCAGCACCGCTGGCTAGGTGTGAAGAAAGTTCGATATGAAAATGTTCGATACCATTTTGCATCCTCCAAAAAACCTGAAAACTACTGGAATCAGTGCAAAGTGGCTACTGCCAAATGCCTTTGAATACGAGCTGTGACGTGAGAGAGACTTCAGAGATTTATGAGAAATATAAATTTATGTCCAAGCATGTGAGAGAGACCTGTTATGCACGGAGAGAGCTGCAGGACAGAAATCATATGACAGTGTTGGTATAGACTTCTTATAATGAGTAACTCAGGATGAGAGCTGTTGCCGATGTACATATAAATGTAAATATGAGCAGTGTGAACAGGTGATAATGGACTTGAAACTGAGCGATTACATAATTCTAATATTACAAAGAATCAAAGATGAAACGTCTACATCTGTAGACATGGAAAAGCCATATTGTCTTTCTCCTTAACCCCTGTTGTTGTTTGCTCTCATTTGCTTCTCCTGGAAAGGAAAAGTGCACTTCTCTCTCACCGCCTGTCTCTCTTTCTCTTGCTGTCTGTGCTTCTTTCTCACACACACCACTTGAATCCCAAAATTCGATGGGTTCAAAGGCACCAAAGGACTGCTGAGCCATAGACTGCCCGGTCAGACTGCACCGGTCCTGGGCCTCAAACAGAGAAACGTCACTGACAGAGATTTAGAACCATAAATTCACTGAGGAGCCTTCACATGGACTGCAGTGACTGTGACGGGGCTGTCCCTCTCTGCTCTGCCGAGGATGTGCAGAGGCTGATGGGTTCAAGGTCCGTCAGACTTGTGTCACTGTGGAAAAGTAGCTGCAGAGAAGACGCGAGAAACTGAATGCTGCTTTCTGTCACTGCTCAGATTCACCATCACTGAGACAGAAGTCGTTCAAAGGATATGAAATTCATTTCAGTCTCTAGGAATGGACCTTATAGACTCAAAGACACCATCACCTCATGTTGTGAGTGTGGATTTTAACATAAAGTGTATTGTTTTGTCACGTTGTTTTGTAATAAAACATTTAAAAAGTTATTATCCTGTTGCCGTACTGTCTGCTAAAAGCCTGGCTGTGGGGACATGTAACAAATGGTGACGTGTCCTTCTTTTGAATGCACAAAGCAGCTTCTGTGCCTCATGTCTGTGTAACTGTCTTCACCGTTGTGTGTATGTGGTCCTGTTTGTGTCTATGACTGAGTGTGGGTACCTTGGTACATGAAATACATGGATTATATTACACCGCTGCAAATGCATCCTTTCATTTTTCAGTTCTTTAACTATACAGTGATGAGCAGTAAAGTTCATCAATTTCCCACGTGTCTGCTGTAGAGCTTTGACTTCCAATAATTCATCATTAATACAATAATGTGGGTTTTTTTTGCTCATATGCTAAGGTAATGGATTGCATTTATTTATATAGCGCTTTTGTGTTGTCTTTTCAAGGCACCCAAAGCGCTGTATAATTCCACTATTCATTCACACACTGGTGGAGGCAAGCTACAGTTGTAGCCACAGCTGCCCTGGGGAAGACTGACTGAATGTGTCCTTGGGTGAAGTGTCTTGCCCAAGGACACAACGACCAGGACAGAGTGCCCAAGGATCGAACCGGCGACCTTCCGGTTACAGATGCGCTTCCCAACCTCCTGAGCCACGGCCGCCCCGAGGTTTCAAAATGCTGTACAAACAGTACAGAAATAGAGTTCAGAAATCCAAAGA